TAAAAACAACTCATAAGTTAGGCAACGTCGACTCAAAAGCTAGGTAACAACATCTTGCAACCAACCAAAAAGGCAAAGCAGGTCAAGCAACCATAGTTCGGGAGAAAAGGTAAAAACAACCTCATAAGTATACCAATATTTTTATTGCATCAACCAAGAGAAAGATGTAAAAATAAACATGTTATCACAATGTAAAAATATCATATCGGGCGATTAAAAAGCTATAAAGACTAACACACACCAATATATAGACTACAACAAGTCAGCATATCTTCAAATATTGTCAGCATCATTTCCTTAAGATTTTGGTGCTTCCGCTGATTTTCAGGGAAGACAGGATTTCCAAGATATCAACATCTCAACGACACGGAAAATCTCATTCAAAACACAATAATATCACAGTAAATTTACCCTAGAAAGTGTGACAGCAACGTGGGAAATTCCCTACAAAAAATGCGACTACAATGCAAAAAATTTCATCCATAAAGTGTGATATTAACGTGAAATTAGATCCCATTGATAGCTTGCTAGCAGGCAGGAGACTTCACCTTATTTTTGAAAAAAAAAACGCGATAACAATACGAAGGAATATCTCGTTGATCGCCTGAAAGAAGCCCGATTGACATCTCTTTCTTCAGTGGATCCTGTTGATTGCCTCCTAGCAAGCCTGGGATGCTTTTTTTCTTTGATAAAATACTGTTAATCGTTTGATGCAGGCCAGAGGACTCCACATTATTTATCTTCTTTTTGACCTATTTATATATTTGGGAAAAAAAGAAAAAAATGTTTTGAGGAAATTTAAATTTTTAAACTAAAAATAATTATCCTTTTCTAAAGACAATCAAAGCCAAAAAAAAATTTCTTTCTATTTATCTTCTCAATTGATTCTATTATTATAATCTAAATATATACTAATTTCTTTCCAAAATATTTATAATAAATTATATTATGACAAATCTGAATAATTAAATTTTCCCAAATGTAAGAGTTTACATACATCACACCCTTATCTTCTGTGTTTCCATATCTGACATCCAAATATTCATATTTATCATCTTACCACTCAATTCATTCACAAACAACCACCAATTATAACTGTATAACTCGGTCAAATCACTCTGTTACCATACAAAAGAGTTTCTGAATTAAACCATTACATGCATGTGGTGTTTTTTATCAAGCAATTTTAAGCATATGAATGAAAAAAATGATGCAATATTTACTTACATAACATGTAATTTTTATATATTTATGGGTCTAATACAACAACTTGTATATTTACATATACAACACTAAGATATTTAGTATTACACATATTATATTATTATTATAAATTTTTTTCTTAAGTATGGTAAATATTTTAACGCTCGTATTTATGACACTAAAGTACTGTTAAAATCAGGCCTACATAAAGCAACTTTTTTTTCAAGATTGTCAAGATGCCTAATTTTTTTTTTTTTGCATCTTTTGAACTCCTAAATCATTTTTAAGCATCAACAACTCAAAATTTTCGATTGTTCGATATATATTTTCAACCTATTTGAGAACGACGTCTGAATATATGGGAGCAACAGATTTTTCATCAATAAATTTATTATTTGACGCAAATCTCAAATTGTATGTCACAACTCTCAAGGTGATTAGTACAGATTTCTAGGCAATTCTTTAAGTAACATGTTCAAACTTTGACCGACTCATTGGACCCAACAATAGCAAAGTTGGTCTAATTCGAGTCAAATCAAGCCGCTAGACCATGCTTTGAAGCTTTCAGTGTTTCATTGGGAGGTCAAAACCGATTCCAAATCTAACATGTCGTAGTTAAATTGAGCGTCACGATAAGACGAATACAATAATCACTCAAATTTGACATCATTAAGAAGCTTATATGTCAACAAAACACTGTCTGATTGAGGTAACCTCCCCATATTATCCAATTATAGTGGTTTAGATTCTTTCATTATTTACAATCTGGATTCTATAAAGAAGCTTATAGAATTCGAGTCAAATCAAACCGCTAGACCATGCTTTGAAGCTTTCAGGGTTTCATTGGGAGGTCAAAACCGATTCCAAATCTAACATGTCATCGTTAAATTGAGCGTCACGATAAGACGAAAACAATAATCACTCAAATTTGACATCATTAAGAAGCTTATATGTCCACAAAACACTGTCTGATTGAGGTAACCTCCCCATATTATCCAATTATAGTGGTTTAGATTCTTTCATTATTTACAATCTAGATTCTATAAATAGATCTCTATCTCTTCTTGAGATGTGAACTAGACTTGGAGCCAAAAGAAGACCGAAGTTTGTAGAAGTCGAAGCTCAACATCATTTTGCACCATTCCGACGGATTTCTTCCGCTTCTACAGCTGCTAACTATCGTCGACCATAATTTGGTTGCCACTGCTATCTGCAACAAAGTCCCATGTGAAGTCACAACGTGCATTGTAGAATCTCATCGTAAATTGTAGAGCAGCGACACAAACTAGAGCAATACATCTTCTAAATATCATGTAACAACGTACTCAAAATACAATGTATTGACATCTCCCGAAGATGGTGTAATAATATAACTCACATACGATGCAATGATACATCACAATGACAGTGTAACAATGCATCCAAAAATAATGTAATAACACACCCCGCTGATAGTGTAATAATTAGGGGTGTAAACGAACCAAACACGAACGAATAGATTTTGTGTTCTTGTTCGGTTCGTTTGAAATTTAGTTTGTTTGAAATAAGCTCGTGTTTGAAATTGTTCATGAAGTCACTGTTCGTGTTCGTTTCTTAACGAACGAGGCGAACATGAGCTGTTCGCGAACGACGAGCAAGTTTGACATCCCTAATATTAATATATATAAATAATATATTATATTAATTATATAACTTATATTATATAAATATATAATATCTATATTAGTATATTACTAATATAATATATTAATATATTATTATAATTTAAAAAATTATTATTTTAAAAATATCATAATTTTTTTATATATAATTATTTTAAATTATTTTATGTTTCGAACAATAACGATTCGAACACGAACTAACACATCACTGTTCGTGTTTGGTTCGTTTAACTTACCAAACGAAAAAAATTGTTCACATTCGTCTCGTTTACTTATCAAACGAATCGAACATAAACTCATTAACAAACCGAACAAAAACTGTTCGCGAACAACGAGCTTTTTTAACAACCCTAGTAATAACGCACCCCACATTTGGTTCAACATCACCTCCTAAAAATAATGTAACAACACGCACCCCACATCTGGTTCAACATCACCTCCTAAAAATAATGTAACAACACACCTCAAATACAATGCAGCGACACGTCTTAATGATCGTGCAATAACACACCCCTTTATGCAGTGCAAATGATGCATCCTAAATACGATGTAATAATATATCCTGAATACGGTGCAACGACACACCCCGATGACAGTGTAATAATGCTCTCCACATATAGTGTAACGACACATCCGAAAGATGGTATTACAGTGCACCATGAATATAGTGCAACGACGCATCCTAAAACAGTATAACAGTGCACCCAGAATATGGTGTAATGACATTTCTCGAAGATGGTGCAAAGATGCACCCCGAATATGGTGTGATGACACACCTTGATGACAATATAACAACACACCTCACGTATCGTGCAACACCTTATGAAGACGACACAATAAAGCATCCCAAAGACAATGATTATCTTCAGACTCCTAAGGCACTATCACTGTAGCCCACCACCACGACCTACGTGAACAACTACGACCCACTAGGTTCATATCTCATGCAGCTCTTGAGTCCAATCTTTGCAATATACAGACGTCATTATTTCTCGTCACTACGACCTATGTGGCCGACTATGATCTATGTGCTTCTTAACTCGTGTAGCTTCTGACTCCAGTTTATGCGTCTTACAAATATCATCACAACTTACCTCTATGACTTACATGACTAAATACGACTTACACAGTCCACAACTAGTGCAATTCTTGAATCCAGCCTTTGCAACGTACATTATCACTACTCATAACCATGACTCACAGCTCGCGTAGCTCTCGACTCTGACCATTATGACCTATGAACTTTATACAACTCAGCACTAAAGCCTACATGATCTGCAACTCGTACAACTCCCGACTCCAACCATTGCGATCTATGAACATCATCACAACTTATAACTACAACTTATGAAACTAACAACGAATTATGTTACACATAACTTCTACAACTTTCTATTACGACCCATGTAGCCAACCGATACTATTGAAACAACCATCTATGGCTCACACGACCAACTACCACCATGACTTTCAACTATGACCTATACAATAAGATGACAATGTTGTCATTATCTACAACACTCATGACAGACTACAACCTCCATAACAATCAACCCGATTCTTGCAACATGCTATTACCGAAAACTATATTCATGATAGTTAGACTATGACTATTATTAATGAACTACTATTTTACATTTACAATGCTCAAACTTGTAACTCTATTATCCTCAATTAAGGAGAAGAGCAAATCTATGTATTCAACATCCGTAGTAAATTATTTCAACGGAGCGACACCCCATGATTTTTTCTATTTCCAAAGGTTTTACAATTAAAATTTGTAGCATTTCCTCCAACATCTTTTTTATTATCTAACTATGTGCTCGAGTCTCATATAATGTTAAGACGCTGAATAATTAGCATGTCGTCATAGGGCACACTTCAACATTTGTAATATTTTTTTATTACGAATTTATTGAATATATATACATTCAAATTAAAAAAAAATAATCATAATAATATTTTTGATATTATATTAAATATTTAAGTGTCAGGCATGTAAATATAAAAACTTATATATTACATGCATTGAATGCTGGTGTAGGTTGTTATATTAAGATTATTATCAGCCCTAATCGATCCCCGATTTGGCTCTGGTTTTTATCATCCAATGCTAGAAAACCCGGCACGGGTTTGTGCATCGCCCTTTCGCATCCCAGTCACGTGACAGGCTTATAAGAGGGTCTGTCTTCAACTGCAACTAGTTATTCAGCCGGAGGACCCTGCCGTTCTCTCTCTAACTCTCCTCCTAACCGAGAGCGAGCGGGATCTCGACCTGTAAGATTTATCCTTCTAATTTCTCTACCTTTTTCCTCCATCCATTCTCTTCCGTCCATCTATTTCTTACAACGTTTTCCAGGCCAAAGGATTCTGAGATGGGTAAGTTTGCATCTTGCCGTTGAGTTTGAAGTTAGGGTTTTCCTATTTCCTCGGCTGGGTTTATTTTTCCGATGCTGGCTGTCTCATATCCTCGTGTATTTCTTTGTTTTGGGAGGTTTGTGTGGATTTGATGTGTCCTATGGATGATCCGTGAGCTTGGTCATTGTTTTGCTAGGGTTCGCTTTCCAACCGGCGTGGTAGCTGGGGAAAAATTTGTTTTTGAGCGGACAATCATCTGTAGGATTTGGAGTGTTTATCGCCATCCCGCAGCAATGTGACAACGGTTTATTCTAAAATTGGGTTTTTTTTTGTTTTTTTTTTCGTGATTATTGTGAGAGCAAGACGATCTCAGTTTAAGGAGAAATTGAATTGAATATCGTAAGGGTTAGAGATCAAGATAATGGTACTTAATTTATACGGACTGGATGATAAAGCTGTTGGAGGTTGGTGGATGGCGCAAGTTTGTTGTTAATTGCCACTTAAATCTCACTTCACAAGTACACGAACTTATGGATTTTGTTCATGAAAGCTGAATAATAAAAAAACTTTGAAATACTCTCTTAATGAAGTTGAGGATTTGCTGGCTTTGGACTCCTTAAAATTGTTAGGATCTGATTTTGTTATTTCAGCTAAAGATGTTACTTTAGAATGACATACATTAGAAATTTGTATCTTACTTTCTTAATTCCATTCCTCACACATTAACTTGAATCTAAAGTCTTGCGACACCTCTGAGTTTTGTTGTCAACACCCACGGCCTCATTTTTTAGGTTATCTCGATAAGAAAGAGTCATGGCTGAGCACCATGCTTCGGTGGAGGCAGACGAGCAGATTGACCTTGATGGGGACAATGACATTGAAGATATGATGGATGATGAAGACGCCGGAGAGGAAGATGGATACCGGAGAGTAAGGGATGAGTACAATGAAAATGAGGAACACGATGAGTATCATGAAGAATTTCATGAATCTGAAGGTGAAGGCAACGATAAAGTTTCATCATCTGATGAGCTAAATAATACTTCTAGCCCTTTGAAGGACGAAGATACCACTGCTGGGGGTATTGATGAAGAAGAAAGGCAGAAACATGCTGAACTGCTGGCTCTTCCTCCGCATGGATCAGAAGTTTTTATTGGCGGCCTTCCACGTGATGCAACAGAGGAAGAGCTGAGAGATCTTTGTGAATCCTTTGGTGAAATTTATGAGGTAACAATGATTCTATTTCCTGAGCTACATCTGCTGCTACTCCGGAAATAGTGTAATATTTTTGGTGCTTCAGGTGCGACTAGTAAAAGATAAGGATAAAAAGGAAAACAAAGGCTTTGCTTTCATTGTATTCACAACGAAGGATGCTGCACAGATGGCCGTTGAAGAGATCCAGGACAAAGAGTTTAAGGTAGTGTTCTATTTCGCTGGCCCTGTTCTCTCATAGCTCTAAAAGTATTTTTTTTTTACTTATTTTTATATTTTACTTTTGTGTGGTTTCTTTGACTCTACCTTTTCAGGGGAAAACATTGAGATGTTCTTTATCACAAGTTAAACACAGATTGTTTATTGGAAATGTCCCAAAGAATTTGGCAGAGGAAGAATTGAGGAGAATACTTGAGGAGAATGGTCCTGGAGTTGAAAACATTGAATGTTTTAAGGTAACCTTTTAATCTTTTAAGATTTCAGTAACCTTTTCCTTTTTTAAGATTTCAGCAATCTTTTCCTCTTTTAAGATTTCAACCAGTGAGAATCTTGCCCAAATTCTTTTGAAACTCTATTGCAGGACCCACAAAACCCAAGCCGTAATCGCGGTTTTGTATTTGTTGAGTACTACAACAATGCATGCGCTGATTATGCACGGCAGAAAATGTCAAGGTCAAGTTTTAAGATTGATGGAAGCTCCCCCACTGTTAGTTGGGCAGACCCTAAAAATTCAGCTGATGCTTCAGCTGCTGCTCAGGTAAAGTTATTATGCAAGACAGTGGTTAATGTTTCATGTATAAGGAAAATGCATAGATAGAGATAGAAACATTGCAATTTACAGAACTAGAGCCCCTTTCATCCATGTTTCACATCTAACTTAAATATAAAAAAATACTATAAAATCCCAACCTATATTTTCATTTTTATCAAATCCATATTTGTTTGATTGTGGCATGCATAAATGCATCAATTTGGCAGTTAAAAAAATCACCTGGATGCTAGTTTTGTAAATAAAAATTTTTCGAGTGCTATGTATGTAACTATCGCCAAATATTAAGATATAACTGTAAAGCTTTTTACCTATAATGTTTTTTGGAGGGGTCTTGGAAACTCAAGTTAGCTATATTGCATGCATCCGTACTAATTATGCATTGATTAAAATATTAAGCTATTATGTGCTTAGAAGGGAATGACGTTTAGGTTGGGGCCTGGATTTGTAGTGTGAAATTGCAAAATTTTCATTTGCAATCATGTTTTAGTTCATTTATAATTGAAGATAAGAATCAGTTCAGAACCCAATTTGAAGAGGAATGGATTCCACAAGGAAAATAAATTATTATTTTAATTTTTTATGTTTGTTTCATGGATTAATTCTATCACGTTTTAAAGTCTCAAATATGCTTTATATTGGGTGACTGGTGCTTATTGAAGTGCTAATGAACCATGTTTTCTTAACCCTGTTCGATTGAAGTTTAAGGGGAGTCTTTAAATGTAGAATTTATAAAAAAAGGTTGAAAGACATGAAACTTGTAAAAGGACTGAGTGATGTTTTCAAAATTGTTGTTTTATGTATATTTTTAAGGTATTACGTAGTTTGATGCGTAGTAGTCGTACTATTTCCTATAAACCGCTTGGAATGCCTTGTAGAATTACTTTGAGATGGGATTTTTGAAGGACCTATACAAAATAGATATGATAAATTCCATTTAATATAAAAAAACTATTAAAAAGAAGGTTTGATTCCAGCTTTTATTAGAATGAGCATCTTTCTCCCTGTATATGTGTGTAATTTCTCCCTCTCCTGTTTTGTGTCAACCCTTTTATATGGTCTTTAAATAAAGATTGTACTACGTACAATGAGCATCAACATTAATATTTGTTACTATGGTGTATTGGAGCTCACTTAAAAGTGTTGCTTTACCTTGTAGCATCTACTTTAGTTATAGACTATACTCTAAACATTACAGAAACCCAAGTATGTAATTCCAGGCCATTTAAGGGGCGCTACATTAAAAAAATAAGAATATCTTCTAACATATTTGGAACCATTCGTTTGAAGAAATTTGAGATGTCCATCAAACGATGAAGTAATCTTAAAATTTATTAAAATATTGCATGTCACCGATTTTAATATCTAAGGGGTTGTTTTGATATTACATTGAAGGTCATGGGTTTTATAATAATACATTGTTTAAATATTTAGTGTAGGTATAAGGAAGTTAACAACCATTCAAAAAGGTTATTAGCTGAAGTAAAAGCTACAATTTTAATTGTTTATATAACAAGCTAAGTGCTTTTGAAGAAAAAATGAGCTATAAGAGATTGCTTGCTACAGATTAAAGGTTTATAATTTTGCTCAATAGTGATGATAATGTGTTTTTTTTAATATGAAGAGATCAAAGAATTATATGAATATTTTTCTTGGAAATTATTAAATGAGAGCTTTAATGAAAATATCTTTTTGCAAGTGAATAATGAGCTGTGTTATGTATTATTTTAAAGATATGAAGTTGATTTAGTGTTTGTGAACATGTAGAAAGGTAAAATTTTATTTCTCTATTCAATGTTTATTTTGATATTTGTTATCATGTTTGATATTGAAGTTCAAAAATTATATTTATTTCCATCGAATTTTGAAGAATAAGTGATTCAAATATGATCCTAAGCTCAAGAGTCGGTTCTTGGGACTCATGAGAGAGGATAGTTTTGAAGTACTAACTTGATTTCCTCAAGCACCTTTGCTTGTTTCTAAAGATATCAACCAACCTCGGTACTCACCCACCCTTGAGATCAATTCCGACATCTAAGAATATGGAGGTGGATGGTGCCGCCGAACCTGTGTTGGAGGCAGTTCGAGTGTTAGGAAAGGCCTGAGATGGAATTGATGATCTTTTTGGTGTGGTATCAATGGCATGTTGGGTTGTCGAATAAGACTTTGAGGAGAAACTTATAGAAGAAAAAAAGAGCAGGTAGAACTTGATTGTTTTACTCGTCGCCTCAATGGGGGATTTAAATAAACTCAATATATTTTAAATAAGAAAATAGATGATAAAATGTCTGAGAATCATCATCATCATTAGTCCAACCTATTTGAGTACTCATTTTTTAATTCTTTGCATTGAGCATTATTTGATGTATTAAATGCACCTTTTAAAAAAAATTTCGAACAACTTCTTGCCATATATCCTTATGTCCGTTCTTTTTCCCTTCTAATATTTTGACAATAGGTTTGTCAATTTATCTAATAGGCACATTTTCTATTTTTTGTTGTTTATGTTCAACGCACTTTAGTTTGTTGCAGTTACCTTATTTATTTATTTTTTTAATATATACCACTTTTTCTTTTCTGTAATACAATAATTTTATAATATATCTTTTCTTTTTTTGCCACATATCCTTAATATTATATTTAATGTCACATTCAAATATCAATGATTTTTTAGCAGTTCAACATTTAAATCTTTGTAACAATTTCAATTTAATTATTGTCTTATAAAATTTATCTTTTTGAGTTTTTGGTATCTTATGGTATCCTCATATCACACAAAACTTCCAACTCATCTATTTTAATCATCTGATCTTAACCTTGAAAGTTATATTTTAGTCCATATCTCCATTCTTGTGCATGATAAATTCAAGTTTTTTAAACCCAACTCTCAGACATCAGGATATCTTCTAATAATATTGACTGATGATTGTTAACTTCCTTTTCGTTAAAATTATATCATGCACTTAGTCTATCGATGACTGTTTAAGAGGCTTCTTTCTTTCAAAAATTTTCTAATTTTAATTTTTCACTTATTTATGTCAACAAAATTGTAATTCACACAACTTTCTTTTGAATATATATTTTTATGCTTCTTTTCATAATCAATATAAAAGAAAAAAACTGTCTACTATTTTCTTAAACCTACAAATTGATAACTCCCAGGTTATCCAACGATAATAGTCAATTGGTGTAAATAGTCAAACAGTGTGCACCATTGCTCATAGCGCAGTCCGGTGCATCTCATGCATTTGCTTGGTAAGGCAGGGGGGTAAATTTGTGAGTGTACGTGCGTCATGTGTGGGCTATAGCCTATAGGCCTTGTAGCTCATGCTATTATAATTTTGGAAGATTTACATACATGCCACTCAATTCCTTTGTATTTACATGTCTGACACCTGAACTTCAAATTCCTTAATGTATGCCACTTCACATATGCATAAAAAAGGTGTATTTTAATTTTTTTAGTTTAAATTGTTGCATTTTTTTGATATGAATGGTTTGGGCGGTATACATGTAAACAGTATTTTTTGGTATTAGATATGTAAATACTTAGGAATTGGTTGGGATGTGCTATAATTTTGTTGAATTAGAGGTTTAAATTTAATGTTATAATTTTTTTAGTTTTTCTATTTTTAATGTGTGATTTATTAGGGCTGCGTAACTACACTGCCTACACATTTGCTCATTTCTTTAATACACAAATGACGAGGCTCTTAGTCTTTGATAGTTCATGTGGTCCTTAGTCTTGCCTTCGACATACACACATGCAACTTATGCCTTTAACATACAAATTGCTTTCAGTTTTACCACTTACCTTCAACACATACTGATGCGAGACCTCTCATTGAGGACTATAAATCTTAACTTTGACATGTGCAACTCCTTTTAATTTTGACACACGAACAACACCACTCTCGCTTTCAATGCACAAAGTTTTTTAAGGTTTCAACGAAGGAGAAGAAGGGCTTGGTCTTGACGCCCTTGTACAAAGGCTTTAACTATTGGCTTGCATGCCCTAGGCACAATTTCTTTGCACTATTTATAGTTGTATTTTGTTTGCTGTTTTATAAGTTAGAAAAAAAAATAAAAAAAACCATGCAAAAAAAAGTATGTCTTGCAGTTAGTTTAAAAATGCATGCTTTAGAATTTGAGTTAATTTCTTGGAAGATGCAAGCCTACATTTTTCTCTACAAATTTTCTTGTAATAATAATATATTATGCATAATTATCCAATTTTTCATGTACAATGAGCTTTTTTTTGCGCTTGTATTATTTATATTATTAGTTATCTATTATAGATATAAAAAAATATAAAAAATAGTTCAAAAGGAAAGATTCAACATGAAAATATGTAATCTTTGTAAATGCTGGTTTTGTTGACGAAAGAAACTACACAGTATTTGTGATTAATCTAAAGAAAAAGAGAATGAATCTTCATTTAAGATTAACCCTCTTTCAATTGAGCATACTATGTGGAATAAAAGTATGTGTTAAAGATAATGATGATGGTTATGAAGAAAGAGATGAGGCTATTTTGACTTATGATGATTATTCTCAAGGTGATTAGTTTGTTGTTTTAAAGAAAATATTCGATCTGCAAAAAAAAGTAGTGCTTTGAATTTTAAGTAGTTGTGTACTTGCGCCTAGGCATCAATTTTATTGTTTATTTATTTTAGTATCATGAATAATTTATTTTAAAATCTAATATGTCATATTGAGCTGCATTTTAATTCATATCATGTTCAAAATGACCAGTTTTATTTTTAAAATAGCGTGTATTCAGTCATGCTTTATGCTGTATAGCTTCATAGTTAACTTGAACTGTGATGTGCTATTTGTCATTGGCAAGTATGGACTAGTCAATGCTCTATCATAAATATTCTTAATAGCTTCGTTATATATTTAATAGATAAATTTATGCATACTTTCTTAAGTAATATGAAGATCATTTCTTTGTTTTATTACGAACGACGCTATATCCACGTGGT